GTGATTCCCGAGAAGCTGATCCAGCAGAGGGAGAAGCAGAAGGTGAAGCAGAAGCGATTGATTGATCCGAGCAAGATCCAGTGGAAGCCACCAGTATTTACGGCTTCTACGAGAACATGGGGTTGGTAAAAAGGGGGTGTCCCTTAGACTGGTGTCAATGACGAGGCGTTTGAAAAGACATTGATTTTGGAGCATATGATACCCTTACATTTTACCACTACCTAGGAAAGGAATAAGTTTCAGTTAGACCAATGAGTCTTTGAACCAGAACATATTTGTTGAACTTGCCGGTTCCTTGATATGCCGCTATGATTGCGAAATGCTGCGTGGGGCCAGCGCATTTCCTATCTTTGGGGCCTCCGCATTCGGAGGCGACAACCTTGAACTTCACTCTGACATACAACTATAAGTAATCAATACCTTGCAGTCAACCAAGGTCGTCGTTAAATTTCATTAGTGAACCAAAAACTCGAGCGGAGGTGATGAAGCATCGCGTGACAACTGTATCAAAACACTTTGCTCAATTACCTCACCACCGGCGACCCCTCACACACGACACCCGCATCTCCTCAACTTGCGCGACCAGTGTAAACACTCGCAAGCTGTCATTGAGTTTTGATCCACACTCAGCACCTCGACGATCCTTCTTCAACTCGGCAAATTCTCTCTCATCATCAAGCATGAACGCCCCCTTGCACAAGAAGCCAATCAACCTCCTCCGAGGCTGGCCCTCGCCATCCCTCCTCCCAGCCGCAGCCCTCTCCGCCGCGGCCGTAAAGACCCTCGCCGACCCCGCCGCCTACGTCCCGGGGCTCCAGTACGGTCCGGACCCGGGATACCAGCCTCTCCGCGAGTCCATCGCCCGCTGGCTGGCGGCATTTTACCCCGCCGTCGACCCCGCACCTCCGTCTGCCGCGGATGATGCCACCACCACTACTGTCGCCGCCGGCCACCACGCGCCCGATGTCCGGCGCATCTGCGTCACGGGCGGTGCAAGCCAGAATCTGGCTTGTATCCTTCAATCTTTCACTGATCCGCTTTACACGAAGAATGTCTGGATGGTGGCGCCGTGCTACTTTCTCGCCTGCCCCATCTTTGCTGACGCTGGGTTCGACGGACGTCTGAAGGCAGTTCCTGATGATGATGATGGTATTGATATCGAGTACTTGAGAAAGGGGCTCGAGGCCGCAGGAGAAGGCGGCGATGAGGTGAGCCTTTTCTACGATGGGGCTGTTGCTACAAGCAGCGTCTCCCACCTTCACTTCATCTCATCGTGAAGAGCCTCACCTAATGGTATCAACGATGAGAAGAGAAAAGTCAAGGAATACCAGCTAATATCAAGCAACAGCACTTCAAAGAAGCCAAAAAGAGAAAACTCTACCGCCACATAATCTACCTCGTCCCAACCTGCTCCAACCCAACAGGCAAAACAATGTCCCTCCGCCGTCGTCACGAGCTCGTCCTCCTCGCCCGCAAACACGACGCCCTCCTCGTCTCCGACGACGTCTACGACTTCCTCCAATGGCCCCTCTCCACACCTCCTCAGCCAGGCTACACCCCCGAAATGCGCATCCCCCGCCTCGTAGACATCGACCGCAGCCTAGGCGTCCCCGACGCCTCCTTCGGCAACGCAGTCTCCAACGGCTCCTTCAGCAAGATCGTCGCGCCCGGCGTGCGCACGGGGTGGGCGGAGGGCAGTCCCGCGTTCGCATACGGGTTATCACAGACGGGGTCAACGTGTAGCGGTGGCGCGCCGAGCCAATTGGCTGCCATGATGGTCGCGGAGCTGCTTGAGAGCGGTGAGCTGCAGAGGCAGCTTGATCAGGAGACGCGTCCTGCGCTCGCGAGACGACATGGGGCTATGATGCAAGCGATTGCGGAGTACATCCAGAAGCCGCTTGGCGAGGGTGTCGTTGTGCGCGGGTCGGCGTTGAAGGGGGCTGAGGTATTTGGGGGGTACTTTGTGTGGTTTAGTTTGCCTGAGGGCATGTCGAGTCGGGAGGTTGCTGTGAGGGCTAAGGAGACGGAGAATCTTGTGATTGGACATGGTGCGCAGTTTGAGGTGCATGGGGACGAGGATGCGGCGAGATTTGATCGGGAGGTTCGGTTGTGTTTCTCGTGGGAGCCGGAGGAGGATGTTGTGGAGGGTGTTAAGAGGTTGGGAGCGGTGTTGAAGGCTATGAAGGATGGTGTTAAGTGGAAGTCCTCGAGCACGCTGGATGTAGATAACGTCAAATAAAAGGACAAAAAGTCAGTGTTTTATCCCTTACGACTAAGATTCACGTTGCAAGCCTGACCGATACTGCCTTGATGTGAGGTGCTCGTTCTGTGATTACCGTGTCACATGGGCATAACTGGTAACACTTGATCTTTTTATCCTCTGAGAGTCTACCTAGACGGCCCTGCGTGTGATAAGTAGGCACTCTACATAATTGGAAAAAAAACGTGCGGGGGGGGGGGGGGGCTCTGAAAAAAAACAACATTCACCTCACTTGATGAGAAGGACTAAAAGTGGCTGTGTGGAAAGTTGTCGTAAGCAAACATGTTTTGAATCTCATATCTCCTTTCCTGTGGCAACCGCTCTCATCGCGTAGAGTTTCTTCTACGATATAGGTCCAATGCTATCATTTCGTATCAATGCCTGGTGGGATATATCTCGGACCTCCGGGTTGTAACTTCTCATCCTTAGCTCTAGCCGTTATTAGCATATTCAGGTGTATTTCAGGGTGCTGGCAAAGGGCGGGGGACGAGAGATAGTGGTGAGGGCGTTTTCTAGATAGCTTCACTGAGAGTTAGATCAGCCACTACTTACCTTGCGATAAGTCAAACGAGAAACAACTTTCAGGTCCCTTCAGCAGATTTCGCAATTACCAGACCTCAGACGTAGGGTTGCTGCAGATTGGCGGCTCGGGTGTATGATCTTGACTTTACATAGAGGATTAAGGTGGTTGCCAAGTGAAAAACAATACGATGAAAGCCTTGAGATGAAAGGACCTGCGTTGGGAGAAGTCTCATCAAACAGCGGTGTTTTTTGCAAAGTATGCGATCAGCAATTGCTTCATCTGCGATGTGGAAAGTTTGTCTACTAAGCAGAGAGTAAATTCCACGGCTAGGCATAGAAGATCCTTTGAGATGAACGTTGTTCGCTGATTTGTTCCTGTTAAATCTATCTAAGGATCACTTCTACAACGCGCCTAAGTGAGGACAGGCAGGTACAGACAGATAAAGGCGCAATTCAAAACGTCTCATACCGGTAGCAAATCAAGCCAGATAAAATGAGAATGAGCAGGCTCTCATAGCAAAAAAGGTCAGACCCAGGGGCGGTATACTCATAAGCTCATCTTCAAGGACCTACATCTAGAGCTGGGGATAATCCCGTGGGCAGACTTTCCGCCTCCGCCTCGGCTGTTGTGACTGCGTTCGATATATTGGCAAGGCACATAGTAATCTCACATCTGTAACAATATTGAGCAGCGTTGCGGCTTCGGCATTGTGGCTTCGGTTTGCGATAAGACTGAGTGAATGACATCGAGAGCGCCTTTCCCGCTTCGCTAAGTCTTTTCACCAGCCACAAAACAATTATGAACAAGGTTTTCGGAGAACACGATTCTAGGCTCGTCCCTAGGTAAAAGAGGGCGCAGCGAGATGGGGGGCAATCAAGCACTAGAAAGATCTCGTGGAGGCTGGGATTTGAAGGCTTGAAGCACGGAGAACTGGAGACCATCGAAGTGCGGGATATCGTCATCGCGAATGGGGGGTTCCCAAGTCTAGCCTTTGATGTCGGCAGTCTCTCCCTCGATGGGAAGTGGTCGGAAGAGGCGTGTGGCTTGAGACGGGGTCTCATCATTTATGAGGCATTGTGGTAATCTGTGGCGGCGGCGGTGGCCCGGGGTTAAACTCGTTGCGGTATGTCTCTAATGGGTGCATTGAGTCTTGGTCGGTTTGCGGGTTTGCCTCGTTTCTGGAGTTCGGCAGATGCGTCTACAATGGAGACTTGATGGTCAAGCTATGGGTCGCGAAGAATTTGTCGGCCACATCATCCCTCTCCGGGGTAGATAATGGTGTTTTTGGAATTATTGATGGAGGAGAAACGAATTACTCCAGCAATACGTGATTATACATCGCTTTCGCATTACAAGAACACAAGCATTGGAGTCATTCTTGCAACAAGACATTCACCATATCTCTCAAAACAACCTAGGTTATATGATCTATCTATAAGTAATCACAAAATACTAGAGTTACCATAATCACGAAGAGAAACAGATGCCAAGACTCCGGGACGGTGGAGGAGGGGGCCGCATGTACGACGGACGAACCCGACACCTCGGGTCCCCCAATCCGCGTCCTCCCCTGCAGGTTTGCAACCTCCAACGGGGAAGACGGGTGGTGATGGATGCATGCACAGCAGCTTTCGCCGCAACAGCTGTTACCAAACCACCGGGATCCCAGTAACGTCACTGCTTCATTTTCATCCTCTAACCCAGATATCATCAAGCTTGCGGGCTTGAGGCTCCAGTAGCTACTTTCCTCTTATTTAGGTCGAAAAGCATAATTTCGCAATCGCTTGTTTCTCTAGTTTCTCTTCCTCGATGTCCGCAAACGGAAATAAAAGCCACCGTACCTGGGAAAGGCTAGACCCGGGCCCCCGATCACCACGTTAGTAGCAGAATAGTATTTCTTTGATCTTACCATTTTTGCAAACAAGGGAACGATTCACTTCAACCATGAGACATAAACTCAGTTTGATTCCCCGGGGCGGTCGACCCCAGACGGGTCCCCGAGTCCCCTTCTTCCTCCTTTCCCCCTTTCCACATGGGCCGCGAGGATCGAATAAAAAGTGAGCCAAGAGGTGAAGAATCAGAACACTAGACGCGGAAAACATGTCGTAATGCCTCCTTGAATCGACGACTCCTCTCCTCCGCCTGCAAAGACTGCTCATGGACAACGAGTCCTCCGCATCCATACTGTAGTCGAAATCTACTTGAGCTGTTCTATCGATGGCGCTTCAATTGGCGGATGGCCTGCCGGACTGTGCCGTGAGCTTGCCTCCCTTCTCTGATACTGGCCTTTGAGGTTCGGGTATGGGGAATACTTCGACGTCATAGGGAGCTGACGATATCCTCTTTGATGCTTCTAGATACCGTGTCTGTCGCAGGCCGTCAACATCACAACATGTGCCGTCACCAATTTGACGACAACATGTCTATGTCAGGATAAGCCCGCCGTCGAGGCCTTTCGCGTCTGTATACGTGCGGTGTGTGACTTGGAGCAGTCTTTACGTGAGATGCCCCCCTCCCCCTCTTACAAGCCATGATGCACCTCAGCTAACAGTGATGCCATCCAGTCGCCAAGAATATCACATGGACAAAGTGCGGGTATCCCTATCACCATCAAATAGGTTCGATAGCCGGCAAAGTATCGCTCGTGATCATCACCGCCGTCTTCGTGCTAGCGAGGATGCTCTCCAAGTTTCTGAGGCTGTCGACGTGGGGGCCGGACGACTTCACGTTGATATTAGGATACGTAAGGGCCCAGCATTCCCTCGGGCAAAGAAGTTTGCCGAACTGCTTTTTACTTGAAGACGAAACGACTAATGTCTTTTGTCGTAGTTGTTCTCTATTTCTTTTGCCATTTCCAAGTTTCGAGGTAGGCCTCCCCCTTTCGACACTCGCGATGCGTCGAGGCATTCCAATGAAGGATTTCATTTAACAGAATATTAGGGTATCAATTAGGCATCGGTCGAGATATATGGACTCTCTCCTACGACGAGATAACTCGCTTCATGCAAGTAAGACACTTCCCATCACCACCACGCCCCGAATATTCTACAGCAAACAAACATGCCGCAGAAGCTCACAAACCAACTCGGAAACCGGCAGGTCTTCTTCGCCTTCGAAGTAATCTACACCCTCTCCATCTCCGCCCTCAAAGCCTCCATCCTCTTCTTCTACATCCGCGTCTTCAGCATGGTCAGCCGCACCTTCAGCCTCGTCCTCTGGCTCACCCAGACCTTCAACTTCTTGTTCTGCCTCGCCTTCACCGTCGCGAACCTGAACCAGTGCCGCCCCTTCAGCAACGCCTGGGAGGGCTGGGACGGCCGCCACCCGGGGTACTGTATTAATGTCTACGCCATGTTCATCGCGCACGCGGCGATCAATATCGCACTCGATGTGTGGATGTTGGGGTTGCCCGTCACGCAGGTGCTGTGGTTGAATTTGAGAAAGAGGCAAAAGGTGGAGATTGTCGTCATGTTTTCGTTGGGTGTTGTGTGAGTTTGACCCCTTTGGTTGATACCTATATTGTCGCTAACGCCTCATCTTGCAACAGCATCACAATCGTCAGCGCAGTCCGTCTAAAAGTCCTCCTAAGCCTCGAAGGCTTCCAAGACCCAACCTGTAAGCCCTCCCTCCCCCAACGCTGCGCCAACTCCTACCTACCTCATCCAACCCCCGCGATGCTAACCCCCTTCTTCCTCGCTACAGACGACGCATTCTACCTCCACATGTGGTCCTACATTGAACTCTCCGTCGGCATCATCGTCGCTTGCCTCCCCTCAACCCGCCAAGTCTGGCGCCATCTCGTCCCCAAACTCCTCCGTCTCGTCGGGCTGGGAAGCCCCAAACACCACCACAACCACCACCACGGCCATGAAAGGCCGGGTGACTCAGCAAAGAAGCTTCGCGACATTTTGTTTATGAGTACGAACACAGGAGGTTGTGGAGGAGAAGAGGGAGGTGAGGAGGAGCATTCGTCGTCGTCGGCGGGACCTTCAAGTCCGAGTGGATCATCGACTCGTCGTCAGGAGGTACACTGTAATTTGTAATTTATACCCCCCCTTTGTATAGTGACTCGTTGTTTGTTTCTACAGTAGAGTAGAGTTTGGACATCGGCCCCATATTTGGATTATTGGCCTCATTAGGCAATGTTTGGACGTTGAATGTTCTCACCTGGTAATTTTCATCAACCGACAGCGAGGTGATACATGGCCTTGGCAACATTTAGAGCATCCCAAGCAGCTTCGTAAATTCCGTCAGCCCAGGGGGGCTTAGTAATTACTCATCACAACTTCACAATCAGGACGACATGAATAGAGGCACAAGTGAAAAGCGAGTTTTCATCATTTGTTTGTGTATTTTCTGAACTGCAATTACCCTGGACGTCAACTGCCCTCAAGCAGCTACTGTCTGTCCTTCCGCTGGCAGTGACCGAGTAAACGCTTGTGTAAGAAAAAGACACTCATCCATTTCCGAGTCCTGTAATCTCACCTCCTTTGCACATCAGGTGTTTGTAAAAGACCGCGTTGCCCCCTCCGATACTCCCAGGACACCCGCCAGCCAACCTTCCTTTGACCTCCCGGCCGTTCGTTATGCGTGTCATGGTTATGAATCGTACGAAGAAACACCGGACCTTGGTCAACATGACCAGCGTTCCTCCCCTCTGACTTATGTAGCCGAGCAAAGGGGGTTCTCGTATTGGGTTGGAAGTGTTGTTCAATGGTGGGAAGATGGAGCTCGCGTGTCGTGAGAGTGGAAGAGAAGAAAATTCACCAAAAGACTTCGCTGTCGCTTCCATCCGCCCCATTTGTCCGCGTCTGGGCCAAATTTCCCGGCCGGTCAAGCTCATATACCGACCGACCAAAGCGATTCGATCAAGTCAGGGTCCGTAAAAGTCTGAAAACGCAAAGCGCTCTCTGCGAAGATAATCGATTTTTCGAGATGGTACACACTGCCTACCGCTCGTGGCGGAGCAGTTCGGGCATGCCACAGTAGCAGCATGCGGAACAATATTTGTGCGGTGTTCGTCGGCCGTTGATACTGCCGGCTGCGATTGGTAGTGTATGTTAACCTCAACAAGTCAACAAAGTTTTGTAGGGTTTGAAGTTGTAATGTGGACAGCTCTTAGGCTGCCTGCGTGGGCGTAGTCCTGCGGGACCAGTTCTCGGACCCGCGTCCGCGGTAGCCACCGCGGCCTCCTCGGCTGGGGGGAGGTGTCGAACTGCTTCCTTCACCAGAATACGAAGGCTCCCGTCCCTTGCCGCCACGATGATTCGGGCCCGATCCTCGCTGCCCACCACCACGCCCACTGGATCGTCGTGGATTGCTTCCCGATCGAGAGAAAGGAAGTGGGACAGTCCTGGCATCACCCATACCGGGAAGAAGAATGCGATAAACGCTGCCGCTAGTAGACATCTCATGGGGGAACCACAGTGAACGAACAGTCTCGACATCGGAAACCCAGAAACGCCTCGGCAGAGGCTTGATCGGGGCGGCAGCAGGTTGCCAAGCAGCCTCCGGAGTCTTATGGGGTAAATGAATGCGTGGAAGCGACCCCATTTCCTGCTCCTCGAAGCATTCCTCTGCCGGCGGCTTTGTAGTGAAAGACTTCACATCGTCTGATACGTTCTGGGTGGCTGAGCGAGGTAGAGAGACGGTAGCCGGATTGTAGTGACCAGAGTAGTCGAGAGCACTTTTAGTGACAGGCTCGACACCAGGTGCCTTTGGCGGAGAGTTTGGCTTTCGACCCGTGAGCAGGTTGTTGATCCTATCTTGCCAATTCTCGTTTCCTGCTGAATCTTGCGACCGCTGGGACACGTGGTTCTGCTGGTGAGGTCCGCGCCCATGAGTTCCTGGACCATCTTTGTAACCGGCTGGGGTTGCCCAAGCAAACGGCCCAGTAGATCTGGGTGCCGCTGACTGCGCCGCCGCAGCTGAAGGTGGTAACTTGACAACGGGATGCGGTCGGGGGAGAGATACGTGAGGGTGCATGGCGTCTCCATCGAAGGCCGGGTGGCCAAGCATATCCGGGGGCGGCGGGGAAGGCGAGTTAGGCCTCGATGGTTCCGCATGAGAAGCTGTGGAATCATGTCTGTTGTCCCTGGGAGGGAAGAATCTAGAGGAGCTTCGAGATTGAGTGGCGGCCGATGGTCCTGTGGGAGGTAGCACAGATGAGTGGTCGACAGACCCAGCAGCGCGAACATCGTGGTGAATAACGTGTGCAGGATCGCGTCTTCCATCTCCAGATGGGCGCCAAGTGTCTTTGATCGTGGCTTGAGCTTGTTCAATAGTGAGCCCGCGCTCCACCAGGCTCCGATCACGCTCGAGGCGCTGCGATCTCTTCTCGTCGAGTACTATCTTGTCGCCTTCCAGAACCGAGTGAGCCCATCTATTTCTCATCTCGTTCACTTCGCGAGCATTACCCGTAGTAGGACGAGCCTGGGTGACCGGTGGAATCTGAACCTGCGCTCGCTGCGCGCTGGGTGGTGCGATGGGTGCTGGGCCCTTTCCTGCTGCTTGAGGCTCTGGCAAACGGCCCAAGTCAGTATTGAAGGTGCCGTTGCCCAGTCCGCGATCATTGTTAGGCGATCCCCAGACGTTACGAGGAGCCTGAGGGCCAGCCGCAGCCGCGCCCCAAGTCGGAAGCCGCTCTTGTTGAGGCGTAGGTGCAACCCATGAGTTGGGCTGCCTTGCCTCCGAGCCACTTGGTCGTCTCGCATGCTCTCCGCCTGCGGTGACGGGTCTTTCGCCGTAAGGCTTGTCCTTGGCGTTGGCGGGAGTTGAAGGGACAGCCGATGTATCGGGACCCGCGGCAGGCGGCTGTGAACCGGCTTCCTGGCAAGTGGAACCGTCTTGTCGAGATTGCGCCTGTGCTGGGGCCGCGTTGGAACTCTCTGGTGAAGCCTCCTTCTTGTCACTTTTGCGTTCTGGGGCTGGCCCCATGGCTTCCAACTTCGCCGCAATGCGCGCTTTCCTCGCAGCTTCCTCACGAGCCTCCTCTTCGCGTCGCCTCTGCATTGCCAATTCGCGTTTCTCACGCATGACCTTCTTCTGCATCTCGAGATCCTCCTCCAATCGCGCCATCGGTGGCGGTGGAGCTGGTCTTCCGTCTGTCTGAGGGCCAGCTGAGTGTAGAGTGGCATGGTTGGTTCCGGGGGATGGTCGAGGTTGCCACTGCTGGTTGCCGTGCATCCGAGGACCATGTTGTAAGCCCGAAGGCGAAAAGTTCCGCGGGGACATGGGACTTTCAACCGAGCCAGCCATAGAGCCCCTACGAGCACTCAGCAGGTCCTGGGGAGGACCCGGAAGCTCATGTCCCTTGCCTGGCCGTTGCAAGTAAGATCCGCTACCACCGCTAGCAACAGAAGATCCACGGCGCCTACCCATGGGACCGTCGGGCACAGAGTTCCTGCTCGTTTGGAAAGCGGCAGAGGGCTCCGGATGATCGGATTGGGACGGGCGTTGTAACACTGCCGGCTGCCTAGGATGGACGTCAGATCGGAAGGAGCCTCTTCGATCGGCCGGGACCGGCTCATATCGCCCAGATTGCGAGTTAAACAGTTCTCGGTTTCCGCCCGGAGGACCACCTTCTCTCCAAGCTGATCGGTTGAAGTCATCAGCAGCAATCTCCTTGGCATGGTAGGGCGGAACGTTATTATTAGTCGCGTGGTCTCTCGGGGGGTATCTCGCGCCTTGCTGAGGAGCAGGCGGCCCGGCGATGACTGGCGGAGGAGCCTTCTCGACGGGGGGCAGAGGTGCCCAGGGCGATTTCACTGGCGTCGGAGGTGCAGGTGGTTTGGCGACGAGCGTGGGCTTTTCGGCAGACCCAGCCTTGAGGATGAGCCCTTTGCCAGATGCAAGCCCGCCAGTCTTAATCGAGGGCGAAGCGGTGGTTCGAGGCGGTGGTACAGGAGATTTCGGTTTCTCCAAGACCTTCTCTTTCGGTGGCGCAGGAGTCGGCTCGGGCGGCGGCGGCGGCGCAGGTACTTCGTCGGGATGCGGGAGGGTGGTCTTGGTACCATCGGTCCAGGTGATGGTCTCGGGCGCCCAGTCGTCGTCGTCGTCTTCTATATCTGCCCAATTTCCCTGTGCCGACTGTCCGCTTTCGGGGGCAAGACGGCTTGCCATATGGATACCATACTTCTTAAGTTCTTCATCCGTAAGCTTTTTGGGTTCCGGGGTAGGGACAGCTGAGGTTCGTTATATTAGCACATGACCGCAACCACCCTCAAAGACCTAGTAGTCGCCTTACGTCGATTCTTGTTCCATACTGCGCTGGGGTCAGGGCCGGCGGCAGGCTTGGCGCCGTTGGCAGCCGCTTTGAGTCCCGGTGAAGAACCTGTGCCAGTGCCCGACTTCGCGACTAGCCTCGGCCGTGAAGACAGAGTCGAGGTTCCTGATGGCGAGGAGCTCAGGATCGAGGTCGAATTCGTCTTTTCGCCGGGTTTGGTCGCCGAGGAAATGGTAGGGCCCTTTGATGCTAGGAAGGTCTTGTTGACCGAGACAGCCTTGAAGGTTGCGGGCTTCTTGACGGCCGATGACGTCCTGCCGTGTCCCTTTTCTCCATCTCGAGCCGCCCGTGATGCCTCCGTATCCGACCCTCCACTAACACTAACATCTGCTGAATTGAGTTGATCTTCGACACCGGTGATGTGCTTATTCTCTAAGTCATCGACGGCGGGACTACCGTTCAGTTTCGCGCGATTTGGACCGACATTTTGGGAGTCGATGTCAGCGTCGTTAGTCTGTTCGGCGGAGGGTTCCGAAAGGATCCTAGGTTAGCCAAAGGGCAAGCGACAGAGTGAAGGGTGAGGTTCGCATGGGGTGGAATGACGAATGAAGACGAGTGAAGAGGGGACGCGGGGATCATCCGGCGATGGGGCAGGGCGCCAGCGGCGTGAGGCTGGGGCTGCTGGGGAGGAGGGGAAAAGAGGGAACTCACGAGCTTGGGGTCAGAATGGACAGAAGCATCAACGGGGGCGGCGAGGGTGGCTTCAGTTGCCATCATACGTCGTCGGATGTTCTGCGCTGGAAGAGCGAGGTTTGGCTT